AAAAATTTGATAAATATATATAGGGCTCCGGGCTATTTCGGAAATTTTTTATATAGTCACGGAACAATTCGGAAAAATTTTACTATATAAACCACAAATCCCTCCCCCCCCCCCCCTCCTCCGGAGGGGAGAGGGGGGTAATGTAAAACACAGAATCCAGTTGGTCTCGCCTATGTAATATAAAAATCAATTGGCTAATCACCCTAATCCTAAAAAAATAAATATGTTTGTTTTACAATCATCCATGTTTTAGCATTATTCTTCACAATAAATATAAAATATTTATAAAAATTTGCAAAGATAAAGAATATTAATAATATATAAGTTCAATTAATCTATCACTAAATAATAAAAAATTCCTGTTAATGTTTAATGTTTAGACTACCCCATATAAATTATTTATAATTATATAACAATAATTATATATAAAATTATATTGATTTTTTTGAAATATTGAAATGTTAAAATAAATATTATATGCTTCAATAGACAATATTATATGTAGTTAGCTTGCTTTATTATTGGCTACCCCATGTTTGTAGTATATATAAAATAGCATTATACAGTTTGCCCTCCATACAGTCACTCTTTATATAGTTACACCTCTTTATAAGCACATTAATTTTTAGAACAAACATATATAAAACATAAGAGATTTAACCTCTATACAGGCACAATTTCTTATAAGCACAGAATTTCTTCAAGGGTATTACTGTAAAGAGGTTAGACTATACAATTTTTTATATACAAATATATATATATCTAATCTTTATAATATTTTTTAGATTGTTTTATTTTAGCTGCTTTTTGCACTTAATAATTGCTCTTACTATGGCATATCTTGAATGTGTACGTAAGATTTGTGGACAACTGTGGCGCATATTGCATAAAACTGCAAATCGGATTTCAAGATCTGATGTAACGTAACACGATCCGAAAAATCCAAAACAAAACGTTCGATTTGTCAAAAATCGCCTATTTCTCGATAATCTGTATAATAAACCGGCTTTAGTGCTCTAACAAAAAGTTTTTCTCGAGCGATTTTCTATATATCGACTCAACCCTTAACCTTATTCTAAACGCTAACCCTAACGTTAACGAACTTTAAAGAAATTTTTCTGCGCCACAAACCTGACACACGCATTCCAGATATGCATACGTAACAAGGGAATTGCGGCTGAAATAATGTTAAGCAAATATTCAACGGCTTTTATTAGCGGCAACTCTGAATGACCTTAGGAAGTGACTCAAAAAAAAGTAAGTTCAAAAAAGTTGTTTTATCAATAAAGGAAGTTTGGTTTTTTTTTTACTAAAGACAAACTGAAAATTCGCAAAACTGAGACAAATATATACATATATTCCAATCCGTCTTTAAACGTATAATAGAATATGTACATAAATAAACAATAAAAAACTATTAATATTAACAAGAAAAAGCATATCTAGTTAACTCTAGACCGAACACTAGAACCGAATTTTAAAAAGTTTTGGGAATTTCCGTTAATACACCAAGTACGCATCTTAAACTGAGCATTTTCATATTCTAATAAGTCACAATTGTCCGGCCTCCGTGTTAATAACATTTACATGGAATGTTCAGCCTGATTAATTATATGAACCAATGTTAAATCGATTTTTACATACTTTAAATACTTCATACTCAACAACATTAAACACAATTTTGTAGTTTGATTTTCTGATCGGTTTTTCATAGCAATTTTGTTTACAAACCCACTCATTATGTCTATCCAAATCATTAACCATAGAAAGGTCTTCATTACCAAAGGACGGACCACAATCATAATCATTATAAATCGCTTTTTTTTCTTTACCATCTTTAATCCGACTAAAAATAGTTTCATATTTCCCAAAAGAAAAAATAAAACTTTTTCTTGTCACCTCATATTGACTGCGAACGTCTTTCCATGCAATTGGGTTGTATCCACCAAGAATTTCATCTGTTCCATCTTTTCCTTTGACTTTTAATACTACGAGAGTTCTAGAGTTCTTATTGCATAACTTATGAAAAATATCGACTGTGAATCCATCTCTACTACCTCTAAGAAGTAATTTAAATTCATATGGAATTTGGTCTATTTCATATGGAAGTAATCGGTTATCAATTTGAGAAGCAATTTCTCTAGCACGTTCAATATCAATTATAACACTTGGTATTATAACTGATAATTTAAATCTTTGAAATATTTTCTCGATACTAAATCCACCATCTTCTATTTGCATCAATTCTTCATAAACTGTTTTGATTGTTGGACGTTGATCTGGAGTTTGATTTAAGCATTTTTTATAAAGTTCAATACATTGAACTAATGATTCAGATGGCAATGAATCACTGAAAACTTCCGAAAGAATGATTCCAAGATCATATATGTCTTGTTTTATGTCATTTGAATCTGATAAATAATCGATTTGCTTTAATCTAATACCTGAAATTATCATTGCTTTATTATGAATTAAAATATGTTTAGAGTTCTATAATATCAAAGACACCAGAATTAATATTAATATTATTAATATGTTAATAAAAAAAAAAAAAGGGGGGGGGAAATATTCACAAGATTTCCGTGAATGATTTTGTTTTTATGTAAAACACTCAGACCTTACGCTATTTCTCTTGCGATACGTAATTTATCTTCTAAATTTATCGTTAAAGAATTTCGTTTCAAATAATCGCGCAAGTTTCCACCATTGGCAAAAAGTAGAATAAAGTAATGACCTTTTGTTTTAGAATTAGGATCTATTTATCAGAATAACATTATTAAATCAAAGATTAAAACTTTGAATAAAAGAATACTAATATTCATCGACTTGTAAAATTATTTCACCTTTAGCTATTCCGTAAAAATTAATAATATGAGGAAAACCGTTAATCCTTTTTAATGTTTGAAGCTATAAATTATACCAACATAGTTAACATAAAACATAAATAAATTTAATTATATTGCGCTAATATTAAGTTTAATAATACCTCTTCAACTAAAGTTACATCAAAGTTACTGTTGTTGCTACTGCTCAGACTTTTAAGAGCGACTGTTAAGTTTAACTTTTCAAATTTAGCTTTCCAAATCGACCCAATGTATTTCTCACAATTGACAAAATGCTCCTTTTTGTAAAAATCAATGTGTTTTTCTGAAATAGTTTCTTTAAGAGTCGTATTTATTTTATCAGAACATTTACTTGAAGACTTTGTAAAAATCTTGGAACGCATATTGACTTTGAAATAATATTTCTTTGGTTCCAAGTTTAAATTTACGGATTATTGAAAGCGGCAAATTTTGTCTGGTTTTATTTGTCGCAATACAACAATTTCACCCATGAGAAGTATGATTACGTATTAGTTGCTGAATCGCGTGTGATAAAATTTCATGATATTGATTGTTGCATGATCAATATCTTGTTACTACTAGCAGAATTTTTTATGAAATAACTATCAAATCTAAAAATTACCGATAGTGTGAGAATGTGCCAACCAGCATAATCTCTTATTTGCTAAATCTGTAAATCTCTAAAATGTCGCCCTTAAAATGATTTTGTTGTGATAAGAAGCATCATAATTACATTATCGGTATGTTATTTCCAACTACCCCAGTATCGCCAACAAAATTTTTCCAGTCACGTGATCATTAGTTTAAGTATCCAATCATATCACTTCACG